CAAATGGCATTGTTTTCAAATTTGTTGGTTGCAAAGGGCCTAACAAAAATCATTTTTCTCTTTGTGAAACACCATAAAATACTCATCAATATACTTTCATCATATGCAACAAGACTTTACTAGCAGAAAACATGGTTATATTATATAAATGGAGTTCTCCACATCTCAAAAAATATGAAAACATATCTGAATCTCTCTGTTAATATTTGTTTTCATCAAGTAAACCTGATGGGAGAAAAACCTGAAATTTAGAAAAGTCTATCCATTAACTGAATATCTTTCTAAAATGTGGAAGATTGCACTTAATAAACTTGAGGAGAGGTTCAGCTCTAGGATCACCAGTGTTCCAAGGGCATATGGCTTGAGAGGCACTGAGATAATGGATGGAAAAGCACTCTGAAAATGGAAAGGGATCACTACTATTATTCATATCAAACATGGCTCCCTCTAAAACTCTGACATGGTTGTAACTCAGCAGAACGGGCAAGGCAGAATGAGACCGGTGAGCGGGCGACGAGGGCGCTCGAACAGCACAGACTGAGGGAGGTCAGCACAGGAATCACTCTCTGTGTCTGGAAAAGTTCTGGGGAACTCTTTTTTTTTTTTTTTTAAAGATTTTATTTATTTATTTGAGACAGAATGAGAGAGAGAGAGAGCACATGAGAGGGGGGAGGGTCAGAGGGAGAAGCAGACTCCCTGCCGAGCAGGGAGCCTGATGCGGGACTCGATCCAGGGACTCCAGGATCATGACCTGAGCCAAAGGCAGTTGCTTAACCAACTGAGCCACCCAGGCGCCCTCTGGGGAACTCTTTTATGTTCTTTACAGACCCAGTGTTTCCCAGTGTACCCCAAGCAGCTGGACACTCCAGAGGTCAGTTCACTTTACATACTCAGTGTATGAATACAGGCGGCCTTTGGTAAATGTTTGTTGAAGTGACCTCCATAACACCTTCACTGATCCTTTCAGGGAGAATTGCTTCCTTAACTCCGTTCTCTTGATATTTAGTTCATTCCCCTAGTAAAGCACTTACCACGTGTAGTTAGTTACATTTTTGAGCACTATCTTTCCTAGCCTGCTGTATGCTTTTGGTAGGAAAAGACTGTGTCCCATTCACCTAATTTGTGCTCACACAGTGCCTGGCATATAGTAGATGCTCAATAATCATTTTTCTTTTCAATGAGTTACAGGAGGTAGACTTGAGGAAAAACATGGATGCTTGCCTAGTCAGTCCTATAATCCATGTCTAGCCCTACAGTTACTGCACCAGCAAAAACCGATCTTTCTTTCCCCAGGAAGCTAGGACTGTCACCATAAAGTGATTCTGATCCGCTGATTTTTCTGGGAACGATGCCACAGTCTCCTCACAGACTTGTGGCTGTGGGAGCTAATCTATCTATGGGTATTACAACAAACTAAATAGGTGTCATAAATGACAGACACCTCCTCTATGTCAACAGTGCAAACAGTTTCCAAGGGAAAAGACATCTCTGACTCCTAGGGGGCCATTCTCTAAAGAGGAAGTAAATTGCCTACATTACAAAAGATACACATTACTCTCTTGCCCCAGGGCCTAGAAAATAGAACACAGAACAATTATAAATGACAGCAATTTATGTTGCCTCCATTCCATCCTCCCACATCTTCCTCTTAGCAATTCTCTGTTTCTTGGATTGTTATTACCCCAAGATTGAAGGCAGGACAACAGCTGAGGGCAAGAAAGTGGTCTTAGGAGAAATAACCTAGCACTCTACAAATACGAAGGACTACACATTTATTTCTATGAAATAAAAATCACTCCAAACAATCTGAAGCCTTTTAAATTCAACAGAGTGATTCAGGGCCCTTGAGGAAATAATGAGGTCTATACATTGAGACACAGTGTTAGGTCTGGAGATGAGCTCCGAAACGTGATCCCTCACTGCCACAGTCAAGCTGGGTCATACAGCATGTAAGATTACACCAGCAGAAATGGGACAAGGTCTGGGCACTTGGTGCATGAGAATTAACTTTTGTCTTAGTGATGGGGGGCTCAAGAGAGGAGAGGACCCAGCCTAGGACCCAGAGAAGAAAAAACAGAATCTGGCTGCTTATTGTTTTTTCTAAGATCTATGCTCAGGGAGAGAAAGGGGGCCACGGGATGCCTTCTAGCCTTTCTAGCCCAGTTCCCCAGTAGGGTAGAAGAGACAGGGACCTGGGATAGAGCCTCTGCAAGCTGGCATATAGATGAGAACGTTCATGTACTGTCCCATGCAGGAAGCAAGGAGCCTGCAGCAGCTTTCACTACTATCTGGCTAGCCACCCAGGGACAATGAATGACATCAGAGAAAAGCCTACAACCCTAATCAAAGAGAGCATCACTCCCTTCAAGCAACCAAGGTCATCTGGAGCCAGCTGTTTGCAAATATTAGGTTGTTTTTGCCAGCTCTGATTTATAGAACCTTGGGGCAGCTCCAATAACCACACATCAGTTCAGCTCAATCAATATTTACTGTCCTCTACTTGATGCCAGGCCCTCTGCTGCAAACCGAGGATACAAAGACATGGCCTCTACTCTTAGAGAGCTCACCATCTAGAAGGGGAGATGGTCATCAAACAGACCATTAAAACAGAGCAGTAAGTCATATTACAGAAGAAGCACAAGGAACTCTAGCAGCTCATGGTAGGACAAGTAATCCAGTGCTGGGAATCCAGGAAGGTTTCTCAGAAGGGGAGCTTCATTTTTCCCCCCTCACCCTGCTTCCTCACTAGAATTTATTTTATTTTATTTTTTTATTATGCTATGTTAGTCACCCTACAAGTACATCATTAGTTTTTGATGTAGTGTTCCATTATTCATTGTTTGCATATAACACCCAGTGCTCCATGCAATACATGCCCTCCTTAATACCCGTCACCGGGCTAACCCATCCCTCACTAGAATTCAAAGGTTGAGGATGTATTAGCCAAGTGAAAAGAGAAGAAAAGAGAAACTTGGAGAAGATATTCCAAGTAGACAGAATAGCCTTGAAACAGTATGTGTTTCATAAAGAGACTTGCGAGGCCTTGAAACGGTATGATAATTTGGATAAAAAGCAAGGGGCTCAATGCAGTTAGAGCATAGTATACCTGAGATGGGAGAGGAAACTAGGGAGAAAGATAGGGGCAGATGGCATTAATATGATATTAAGCTTCCTCTTATACCAAACTACAGAGCAGGTCAGAGCATGGCATACACAGAAAATTATCTTTTAAGATGGAGGATCCCTGGATGCCTGCGTGGCTCAGTCGGTTGAGCATCTGCCTTCGGCTCAGGTCATGATCCCAGCATCCTGGGATCGAGTCCTGTATCTGGCTCCTTGCTCAGTGGGGAGCCTGCTTCCTCCTTCTGTGTGTGTGCTCTCTCTCTCTCTCTCTGACAAATAAAATAAAATCTTTAAAAATAAACAAAAGATGGAGGATCCCAATAAATTAACAAAAAGCCAAGGAACACACACCCAAACCAAATGAATTTTATTTCCTACTAATTTATACGGGACTGTTAGAAGAGGGATATCCCAAAATAAAACAACTCCAACAACTACTCTAAGGTGTCACAACTCAGAAAGGGTGTAAATCACTCCTTTTTTTGAATTTTATTAGCACTTTGTATCTTCTTTTTAGCACCTGTCACTTTCTGCTGAGGAGCATAATTATCTGTGTCTTACCTCTAATAGTTTACCAGCTCTCTGAGCATGAACCAGGTCTTGTTCATTCATCCTCTAAAATTTTATTACAACCCAGTCTGAATAGGCAAGGCACCCTCAACAATGCCTACCACATAAGAGATGTCCGATAAATGTTTCAGAGCATCAGAATTACATGATATCAGAGCTGAAAGACTCTTAAAGATATTCTAATCCAGTTTCTCAGGCTTTATGAAGACTTTGATAAAAGCTATGGACTCTCTTCCCAGAAAAAAGATCACACATAGAAAACATTTTACATATAATTTCAGGGCCCACAACGCCCAGAGGGTTAAGGTTAATTTTCCAAAGTCGTGAGGGTGTAATAAGTGGCGTAACTAAGCCTACAAGCTTCCTGGTTCCCAATTCAGTCCTCTTCCCACTACAAACTACAAATGAACAATTTTAATTGGGCTATTTCCTGCTGGGAGGCTGTCTATTATAAGCCTCAGATGTGACAATGATCCTCTCATGAAATTCCTTGCTATAAGGGGGATGCTCAGGAGAACATGGAAAGTTTAGTGGCTTCTGAGACTCAAATACAGTGGTACTGACCTCTGCCAAGGAGAGAAAGGGGCAGCAGGAAATGTTCATGGTTACGTGGGAGCATTACAATAAACCAAAGAGGCAAAAGTGATGTTGAAGTCTCCCTAAGTAGAAGAGCAAAATCCTTCTAAACTGTACTGTTAACAGGAAATGACAGAATCATGACTCAAAACCAGACTTTCTGATTTTCAGGCCGGTGTTGTGTCCACCTCACCACAAAATCCTCTGCACACGCACAGAAATCAAACCACCATAGAAGCAATACGGTAGCTCTGGAAATCCTAAGAAATGGGCTAAATAATCTTATAATGCTTAAAACTAACACCCAGTTATCTGTGATAGTTCAAGGAACACAAACATCTTTTAAATCTGCAAATACTATAAAACTATTTGGCTGAAAATGCCATTCCACCTCTACTCGCCACAAACCATTCATTCAACTTAAGTGAATGTATCATTTATTGTGAGGTCCATGCTGAATAAGTACTAAGAAGATATTTTTTTTTAAGTACCACAAGTAATGAAACCAAATCATTGGCTTTTCACTGTGATAACCTGGTGTAGGGACAAGATTGAGAGCTGGCAGAAACACCTCACTGTAGATAATTTCCAAACGAAATAACTGGAGAGGACTCAAGGGTAATCCCAATATTATCTCTACCTCCAATGTTATCAGCCCAATGCAAATCTGATCTGCAGTTTTTGGAAAAGATGCACACTATCCTCTTCTAAAGGACCCTGGCTCCCTTTACCTCCTGAGCTTTAACTAGGTGCTTGTATCTTCCAATGCCATGGGTAGGCTTTGTCTTGTAGTGCCGACTGGTACCCATCAGAATGCCACCTAAAAGACAGAAAATAAGACAAACCTGTTTCAAAGCTCCTGCAGGATAGACCACATGTGAGGAGACAAATTCTCCACAAGACTAGGAATATTTGGGATAGTGGGTCTCCTGCTGGTTTAAAGAACCAGAGCCAGGGCTCAGGTCATGATCCCAGAGTCCTGGGATCGAGCCCCACATCGGGCTCCCTGCTCAGCGGGAAGCCTGCTTCTCCCTCTCCCGCTCCCCCTGCT